GTTTAATAAAGTAATTAAAAACAAAAAACCGTTTTAAAAACCGTTGACTCAATTGCTGTTCTTTCACACAAAATCAACCATAATTTTGCGGAACATATAAAAAAAATAATGTATGTGGTAAAATATTAAAAAAATTCAGTTTGGTTATTAATATTTTATTGTAAAATATTTTAGTTTCGTTATTAATATTTTGTTGTAAAATATTAAAATATTTCAGTCTCATTATTATTATTATGAAAATCAATATTTTGTTGTAAAATACTAAAATATTTTAGTAAAACAAAAAAAACAAAACAAAAAAAAAAAAAAACACCACTTTGGTTACCATTTGTTTTTTCAATTAACTGTTCTTTTACACAAAACCAGATTGGCAACAATTCTGTTATTTTTCTTTTGTTCATAAACCATATTTTCAATTAAATTTTAAGAACATTTTGGTTATTAATATTTTGTGGGTTAATAAATATTTCTTCAATTGCAATTTGAAAAGAGTTGGTTATGAAAAATAAAAACACGAAAATAAAATACGAACAAACTAAAATAAACAAGTGCATCATTTACAAAATAACAACAGACATCAGTACAGTACAACGACAACATGGTTAAAGACATCCATGAACCAAAAAAAATAAGAAAGAAAGAAAAACAAATAAACAACTAAGAACAGAAAGTACGCGTACATCTGCAATACAACTAAAAACCATAACATCCATAAATCATTTAATTTGCTCATCGAAACAAATTAAGCGTCATTGTCAAGTGGTGGTGGAGGTGGAGGGAAGTAGTGATGGGAGACCTGAGTCACTCGATGGTCAATTTGATCAATGCGGTTGCTTGTTACTTCATTACGTCTTTCAGTATCAACACAAAACTCACCAAATTGTTGAATTAGTGAGTTCTAAGCGGCGGCAAATGCATCGAACCTATTACCCAATGCATTGAACTGATTCTCCATGTGTTGTTCCCATTGTACGTGCTGATTGTGTCGTTCTTATTCCAGTGCCAAATAATCAGTCCAATAGTAGAGTTGTTGATTTTGTGGCATGGCATTGTCATTGGGGTCTTCGGGATCATCAGCTATTGGTGCATTTGCAAAATCAATTAATCCCAATAAGTTGTCTGCACCACCAGCTCGGGTCAGTATATACTCTGAAATTGGTGAATTGATTTTCACATCTACTTCATCTACAAGGCTGACATAATGAGCTTTGAAAATTTTGGTTAGCAGAATGCCAAAAGGTAGTGACCGGCCACTGAGAGTACCAAGATTTGCAACCATCATTTCCTTCAGTATTATGTAGCATAAATCTCATGTTTGTCCAATTTCAAAACAATATAACAAATAAACATTGTAAAATGGAACAACATCAAAATGTCATTTTTTAGGAGTGACATTTTTTACTATCCATCGATGAAGAATACAAAGGTGGGGTTTTAAATGGTGTGCTTGTAAATTAGTGCCGGTAAATCGGTTCTCACAAATTGTAGTATAAACCTCACTTATATCACCAACCATGTTAACTAGGTCCACCCACTTTGAAAATGACATTGCAAATCCCCTGATTGAACTCCAATAATTTGTGCTAAACTATGGGGGTTCAGTGTGATTACTTTACTTTTCACGTAAGATGTCAAACTATTCTCTCGAACTACTCCCCCAGTAGATCGTAAGTGAAAGTAAAATAAATACACAAGGCATGGATGTACCTTTTGTGGTAAATTAGTTAAAGATAGCCATCCCATCGTGTCCAGTCTACCAACCAACAAAGGATCATATTGAGAAGGTATATTTACCCTTCTCCCGTAACAATTGGTCGGTTGGCAAAATTTGAATAAGCTTGTTCATGATTATAGGTAAGAAAATTAATTGTTGGAAAAATTTGTTGTTGTTGGCGTTGTGGAGGGTTAGAGGTTTGGCCATGTTCTGGTCTAGTTCTTTTTGTTCTCGGCATGACTTATGAACGTAAGCAAAGATACCAAAAAGGTAACAAAACTGTATGAAAAATGTATCGCAAAATGTATGAAAATGGTGTGCAAAAGTAACCAACAGATAGTCAAAGCTCAGCCTCAGGGTTCAAACTTGATGGAAGCTGGAATAGAGAGGCCAATTGGCCTGCCGGATGACCTGCCGATTGTCTGGTCGAATGACCCACCAGTTGTCCGCCGGGTCGTCCGGTTTGTTGCACTGTTCGATTCTAAATAACAGATTTGAAGGAACCTTTCAAAAATAGTTCTACAAAACAGATCTGAAGGAACATTTGAAAATTATAAATTAATTGAATGGGAAATTAATTGAGGTAGGTGGCGGAGGAGGTGGTTGTCTAGTTCGGGTATTGATAGTATTTTGATATAAAGAGCAACGAAGATGGTGAAGAAGATGGTGATAGTTGTGAAGCAAGAAGTTGTTGGAATGAAGATGGTGTTGTTGAAAGTTTTGAAGTGAATTGTTGGTTAGGAGAGTGATATAAAGAGCTTCAGTCAAATGGTCAAAAATATACTGAGTTTTGGGTTTTTTTTTTTAAAAAAAAAAATAACATCCAAAGTTGACCAATTATTTTGGCTTCTTTTTTTCTTTTATCAAAGCTGACCAGATTTTGCAGAGGGCTGATGGATCCGCAGAAATGAGTGAAATTACCATGTTGTCCTTTTTATTTATTTCTAACATATGAATTTATTATTTATTGAAAGAGGGATAGTGTGGTAATTTCATTGTCAAACCCATCACACACTACCATTATTGATGGTGATGGTATTTCACTTCACGGGTCTCTGTTTTACTTCGCGGGTCATGTGCAGTAAGAAATGGAAAGGTGAGCACAATAATGAAGGTGAAAATAATGGTATGGGTATACAGATTTTTTATAAAAGTGATAAAATTTAACAAATAAATAAATGCTTAGATAATGTTTGGTAGCGTTTATATTTTTGGTTTCTATTTACAAAAATGTTATTAATTATGTTTTATTTTTTTAAAAAAAATACCCAATAAACACATTTGGTTTGAACATAATATTTATTGTCTAAATTTAATACACATAAACAAAAGATATGTTTATTCAGGTCAAAAGTATTTATATTTATCTTTTATTATTTTCTGACAATGGGATCATACACATTATAATTGAAAAAAAAAATATATTATAAAAAAAATTGGTAAGAAATTAATTCCAAAAAAATAATTGAAAAAGAAAATAAACTGAAAAACATTAATTGAAAAAATAAATGAATTGAAATAAAATAATTGCAATAAAAATTATTTGGGAAAAAAAGTAATTGAAAAAAAAAATTGAAATAAACATTAATTGGAAAAAAAATTAATTTAAAAAAAATTATTTGGAAAACAAATTATTTGAAAAACCAAATTAATTGAAAAAAAATTATTTCAAAAAAAAATTAATTGAAAAAAAATTATTAATTCATTTTTTGAATTGAATTTTAAAAAGAATTTGGATATAAATGTTGATCAATAATTTCAATTGAGTTATGAGTTGTGTATTTGATTATGATTTATAACTTTTTGAATTAAGTTTTGAAAATTCATAAAAAAAAAAACTCATAATCAAACAAATATTTTTACTGCACATGTCACATCAAACTTTCAAAACTCAATTCTACACTCAATTCAAAACTCATTTCAACACTCTATTCAAAAATCATAACCAAACAAATTTTCTACACTCAAATCATAATTCCAAAACTCATAAACTCAAAATACAACTCCTACTCTCAAATTATATTTACAAAACTGTACCAAACGCTACCTACATATTTTTCAACTAATTTAATTAATTTGTTAAGATTATATTATATTACTTTTATTTTTTTTTTAAATCATTGATAACATCAAACTAAATAATTTATAAAATGTAAGAGAGGTAAAAATTGAAAATTTTATATGCTGCTATATTGGTCTATATAATTTTTAAATGAAAAAAAAAATTAACTATATTGTATTATTTGTGTTCATAATATATGTTTAATATAATATAACAGATAAATTACTTTGACGCCAGTCTCATAATTTTTTTTATACTTACTATTATTATAAATTTAAATATATAATTTGGCCGTCACTTTACCTCGATTATTTAGGAAATTTGTTCAAACTAGTTCAAATTCAATCCAAAATTATAAATTTTTACTCAAACCACAACTCAAAATTTAAAAATATTTATGGGCAAATGACGACAGTAATCCCATTATTTCAGTTCTTGTGTCATTTTGGTATGTAATTTTAGTTGATTTAATTTTGACTCTAAATTTATTAGTACTTTGTCTCAATTTGATCAAATTTATTACAATTCTTAGTATTTTTAATAAAAAAATATATACATAAGTGGCATGTGTCATATTTATAATAACAACATTATAAACATACTCAATCCATCTCAACTAATTCAATGATTATTTTGGACTAAGGGGTGTTGTTATGACGAAATCACAACAGCATGCTACGGTGCCTCGGTGAGGATTTTTTTTTTTTCAAATATTTTTTAATAATTTGAATCGTTTATATTATAAAATTTGTTGAGTATATAATCAATACAAAAAATCAAATTGATTTGACATCTATAACTTAGAAACAAAAACATATTTATTTTTAAAAAATAAACGATTAACATGATCTTAATAATTTTTTTTAAAATTTAGAATTTGATCATGGGATTGCGAATTATTAATTAATTTGATCTTTTATATGAATGGTATATTCAATTAATCTTATGTGTTAAATGGTTTAAATTAAAAATTAAAAATAAATAAAAAAAACTTGAGAAAAGTCTCAACCGGGACACCACAATCCCTTGTTGTGATCCGATTATTTTATGTCAAAAACAAATTTTTTTTTTTTTTTTTTTGGGAACTGGAATGCAAATGTTACTAGTAATTAGATCAAAGTAATAAAAATTTTAAAATTAAATTAATTAAAAATATATGAATTAAAATAAGACAAGAGGTATATAATATTTTTTTTTGAACAAGTAGGGAGAAGAAAGCAGAAACTAAAGATGAGCAGATTCATCATGGGAAAGAACAGAAGCAAATTCTAATGGCACACTGGTGACCCAACTAGCAGGAAGTGATGATCTATAGTCAGCAGTAGCCACCCAGTGAGCAGCAGAATTGTTTGTCCTTCGGGTCCACAGCAACTTCCAAGCTCTATCCCTTGCAAGGCTTCGAATATCAGCCACTGCTACCTTGATCTCCCATGGAGGGACTGTTTCAGACACACACAGGTGGATGAGTTCTTGATTGTCATTCTCGATATCAGCCAAGGAAAGCCCATACATTTGGACCAAACGACAGGCTAGACGTACCGCAACGGCTTCCGCTTGCGGGGCTGATGCTGAAAAGAAGGAGGTGACAACCCTATCAATAAAATGGCCTTCTGAATCTCTCATGATAGCTGCTGCAGAAGCTTTGGCGGAAGACCGGTGGAAAGATGCATCACAATTTACTTTAATAGTCCCCACCAGAGGTGGAGTCCATCCAGACGCAGATCCGACTGCCATGGAATTATCAGCCAGTGCTGCTATGGTCTCTTCCCCACCCTGTAGAAAATATTCATTCCAACCATGGTGAATTTTTTGGAGTGTGTCAGATGGGTTAACAGGCACTGAGTTGAAAATGAAATCATTGCGAATCTTCCATATATACCAGCCAATCAAAGCACTTTGGCTTAGAGTTTCCTTTCCAGTGACTGTAAACACCCCGTTTTCCCCCCTAGAAGGCTATCCATTGCGCCACATTTGTAATAGATCCCCTAAAATTCAACATGTTGCCGAACCAGACTGCCTTTGTCCATGCATAATCAAAAAGCATATGTTCCACTGTTTCCAAAGCTATATGGCAGATTGGACATAGATTGGAGGTTGCACACCGACGTTTCGCCAAATTTGCCTTTGTTGCCAAGACATTCTTGCAGGATCGCCACCAAAAGTGGCAGATTTTGAGGGGGATTTGCAGGTTCCAAATTTGTCGCCAAAAACCTCAAAGAAGAAGGAGGATGAAGGTTGCCTTGAGAGATGCTTATCCGAAGACTTGCGAGAAAGGTGATAGCCAGACTTAACAGAGTATGTTCCCGACTTGGTGTGGTGCCAAACGAGAGTATCTGCCTTATCTATAAAAGGCACTGTTTCCAAACCTGAGACAAGTGTGCGTAGGACCGCAACTTTCCATAGCTTAGTCACAGGGTCTATAGCATCCGAAACAGTCACAATACCACTGCCTGGGGGTTGAAGGGATGAGACCTTAAAATTGGTGAGAGTTGGTATCCGGCGATCATCCCAGAAACGCACCGAAAGCCCATTATGAATCTGCCAGCGACATCCTTTTAAAAGTAACTCCCGGCCCTTCAACAAACTTGACCATGCCCATGAAGCTCTAGCCCCTCTAGCTGCTTGTAAGAAATCTGAATGAGGGTAATAAATCCCTTTAAACATCCTAGCCCAGGAAGAATTGGGGGAGTTTATTAGTCGCCAACCTTGTCGAGCAAGTAGTGCTTGATTGAAATGTGAAAAGTTTCGAAAGCCCATGCCACCTTCGTGTTTGGACATGCACATGGATGTCCACTTTTCCCAATGGATGCCTCTCTCTCCTGGGTCTCCTTTCCACCAGTAATTACGAATAAACGCGTCCATCTTCTGGCAAAAATTTTGAGGGAAGAAAAAGCACGCCATTGCATAGGAAGGGATAGCTTGCACAATTGCTTTTATAAGAACCTCTCTCCCGGCATGTGATAGAAGATGATTCTTCCACCCTTGCATCTTAGCAGCCATTTTTTCAAGCAAAAAACCATAAGTTGCTGCCTTAGATCATCCCCACACTGAAGGTAAACCCAGATATTTAACATTTGATCTCGCTCGATTGATACCCATGGTTCTACATACTCGTTCTCTTGCATCTTCATCGGCATTTGCAGAGAAAAACATCTCAGATTTATCAAAATTGAGGAGTTGACCCGAGGCCCTGCTGTATACATGAAGGACCTGGAGCATGTGCTAGCACTCGAGGTTACTAGCTCGGAAAAATAGAATAGCATTATCGGCAAAAAACAAATAGGACAGATGCGGACAGAACCTACTCAGTTGGATTCCCGATATGAGCTCAGAGTGAATGTCGTAGGTGATTAGTTTGGACAGCACATCTGCCACTATCAGAAAAAGGTAGGGGGATAGGGGATCCCCTAGTATGATCCCACGAGTTGGATTAAAGGCAGCTCGCTTTTCACCGTTAACCATAATAGAGAAGCTGACGGTCGAAACACACTCCATAACCCAATGAATCCACTGTTCACTGAACCCCAATTTTCGGAGCACGGCTTCTAGAAAATCCCATTGAATCCGGTCATAGGCTTTACTAAAATCCAGTTTCAGAGCTAAGTACACTCGCCAACCCCTCTTTTTATGTCTTAAGAAGTGGAAAGCTTCATGCGCCACTAGAATGTTGTCTTGGATTAATCGCCCCGGCACAAAGGCTAATTAAGCTGGAGTGATTAGCTGGGGGAGCACTTTCTTAAGCCTATTCGCCAAAATCTTTGTGATGATTTTCATCTTGAAATTACATAAGCTGATAGGTCTAAAATGGTGCAAAGTTTCTGGGGCGGCCACCTTCGGAATGACGACGAGATTCATATGGTTCCAATCTCTCAAAATAGTCCCTCCATCAAAAAAATTGCGAATGGCATCACATAGAGATCAGCCAATAACAAACCAATGCTTTTGATAGAAAATACCGAGGTAGCCATCTGGTGTTGGGGCTTTGAGTGGTCCCAATTGATAAGTTGTTGCTTTGATTTCATCATCAGTGAAAGGTGTAGTCAGATCTGAATTCATTGCTTCAGAGACCTCGCACTCCACAACTACTAAAGCTTCCGACAAATCTCTATCCTTTGTGGCTCGGAACAGATTTTGAAAGTGAGATAGGAGTTGGTCATTGATAGAAGCTTCCGTTTCGCACCATTCCCCCGAATCAGTTTTTAACTTGACCAGTTGGTTCCGTTGCCTTCGTTGGATAACTGTAGCATGAAAGAACGCTGTGTTTTTGTCACCATACTGCAGCCAATTGATTCTAGACCTTTGATACTGGAACATTTCCTCTCAGGCCCACACTTCGGCTAGATCCTTTTGAAGCCTCTGAATTTGCATATGAGTATCATCAGAGAAAGGTTGGGCTTGAAGTTCTTGAATTAAGTTTGTTAAAGTAGCAATGCGGATGCGATTATCCCCAAATTTAGCCTTACTCCACCTGGATAGTCCTTTGCTACATCTATTGAGCTTCTGGGAACAGTTAGACATGGTTGAATCAGCCCGGTCCTCACCCCAATTTGATTGGATAATCTCTGAGCATTCAGGGCTAGTAGTCCACATAGATTCAAATTTGAACAGACGAGGTATCTTCTTAGGTGGGATATGACAATGTAACAGAAGAGGGCAGTGATAGGACCTTATCAATGCCTCATGGTATACTTGTGCATAAGGGAATTTCTGGCGCCAACTCACTGTTGCAAAAGCTTTATCCAATCTTTCTCTCACATTATGAATACACTGTTGGTTGTTTGTCCAAGTATATGGGGCCCTTTAAATTCTAGATCCATAAGTTCACAATGCGAAAGTAAATTCTAAAAACTTTGCATCTTAGCTCTACTTCAACGTCCTGACCCCTGCTTCTCCCACGACCAACCAATTTCATTTAAGTCCCCTAAACACACCCAAGGGTAGGTATTCCCTGCAGTCAGATTTTTTAGAGATTGCCAAAAAATTCTCCGATCAGCCCAACAGGATGGGGCATACACAAAGGTGGCCAGCCAACGAGAAGATGTTGTTCCCCTACCCATTAAACATTTAAAAATATTGGCCGATTTATAGCTAACATGCAAGTCCACTTCATCTTTCCACCAAAGAGCTAAACCACCTGATAGCTCAATAGGATCAACATAACTTTTATTGGGGAAGTGGAGCCTCCTTCTCAGTCATTCTAGCATCGGTTGCTTGTTTTTGGTTTCCATGAGGAAAATTATTGAGGGGCGATGGGTTATGCATAACACTCATAAAATCTGGAAAGTCAGGGGTCGCCCCATCCCCTGACAGTTCCAGCTGATCATCAGCATGACCCCTGTGGCGCATTAGGGCTCGCCACCACAGCCCGTTTGTTGTCAGATAATTTCCCAGTAGGACATGGAATTGACTCTTTAGAGAGAGATTCATCAGATATATTGTAGCTAGTACGAATACTTACCGGATAGATTACCGTAGCGACTAGAGTTGCCTCTGCCTCAGCAATGTGCACGTCTATCAGGCCACGTTTTGTCGAAGTACTTTTGCATACACGATGGCTGCCGCTCTTGCCCCCCCTTGCTTTTCCCCGATTCACTGGCGTCTTGTGGAGCTCAATATTAGGTGGAGACAGTGCAAGTTAGAGCACCTGCTGATTAGGATGATCTTGACCTTCCTTCTGCAAAAATTTCGCCTAGGGCAGATATGTGCTATCACCATCCGCCTCCTTCCTCTTTAGAGATAACTGAGTCAGGGCCGTAGAGAGGAGTCCATCTAACAGATACGGGGGTTGGGTCGGCAAAGGAGAGGGAATTGGGCTTTGCAGGGTCAATTGTTGTATCTCCTCTGTATTGGCCGCACTACCCGCAGATTGGGCTGGCCCACTAATTGGGCTATCTGGAGGTTCAGTATTCGAATGTACTCGTGACAAAACAATGTTTACGTGAAAAGTCCACACAAAAAAAAAAAAAAAAAAAAAAAAAACTGGGGTTACTCCTAGGTTTAACCCGGTCAAATTGCGCCCCTAACCAAACCAAACAAGCACTCCTCTCAGCCGGCTCTGCTAAAGCATTCCCAATGACTCTCTGGCTCCTCCGGCGATGGACTCCGAACATGTTCCACCAAACTCGAAGTTTCCGATCAAACTCTGCACTCGAAGCCCTAGCAAAAGCCTCTGAAGAAAAAACCCCAATCATCGTTCTCTACAACTACCCTTCGTTTTTCCGGAGCTTTCTCAGCACTCTTCGCTCGCCTCTTCCACTCTCATCTTGACCTCCCATGCCTCATCCTACCCTTCTCCTCAGTCAAACCTCTCAAGTATGCATACACATTCTCACAAATTCGCATATACATTACACACATTCATCTGCATACTTATATTGCAGTTTGTTAATTTTATGCAATATTTATGTTTAGTTGTTCCTCATACGGATATTGGGTCTTCTAAGAGCATCTCCAATTCTTAATTATTATTATTTTTGTATAAAATATGAATGAAAATTTGGTTAAAGGCTTAAAATATGTTTTTAAGTTTGGAATTTTTTAGGATAAGTTTGATGAAAAAAGAGAGAGTAAGGATTGGAGTGTTGCATAACACTATTGCATGGCTTTTGACATGGTAATCATGGTATCTATCTATCTATCTATATATATCTATATCTATATCTATATCTATATCTATATTATATATATAACCAAATGTAGTTGTTAAGTCAAAAAGTTTCAAAACTTGAATCCTAAATTCTCATAATTTTGAAAGAAAAAAAATATTACGTGGCACTGTCTTTCACCTCTCTTTTTACTTTTCAAGCCTTTTCACTCTCTCTCTCTCCCTATATAAAATATAAAATATAAAAATATTCATTCATATCCATCATCCATATCCATCACCAACAATAATATTTATCCCCAAATAATAAAATATTCATCCATATCCATCACCTACAACAATATCTATCTCACTCTCAATCTCAATTTAATAAAAAAGAAAAAAAAAAAAGCTCGGAACTCCTATAACTTTCACACACACACCTCTATTCAATTTACTCCAATCAAATTTAATCATTTTATCATCTATCCATCTTTTATTTCTCAGAATAACTCATCTTCTCCATTGTTACATTTTGCAAGTTTGATGATCTGGAAAAATCATTACAAGGTCAGTGTAATATTATTTCTTATTTTATATGTATTTTTTTAGTGTTTGTTACTATGTGTGCATATATATTTTTTCTAATATTTTTCAATTCATCTACATATCTTTTCATTTTTTCCATTTTTATGATCCTAATATTATTTCCTACTTTATATGTATTTTTCCAATGTCTATTACTTTTATGTGTGTATATTTTTTTCCTAATATTTTTCAATTCATTTACACATCTTTTCATCATCTTCATTATTACATTTTGCATGATTTGGGCTTGCTTTTTTTTTAAAAATAAAAAATAAAATTGTGAATTGCGATTGTTCTTCAATTTAATCAGATTTGAAACTCATCAAATCTTGAATTTAATTTGTTTTTTTTATTTTATCTCATATCTATCACACCATCACACCCATTAATAGTTTCAGGTAAACTCTCGAAATCAAGAAGATCAACTATGCATAAAGTTAATCTCACATTTGCTCCTTCAAGCTCTCTCAATCATCTACAACCAATATACATCCAGTTAAATACACACACAAAAAATAGCTTCAAAACCTTAAACACAATTTCTCAATTTTAAAATTTTTAAAAATAAAAAATATATTTGGCTTAAAGTGATAGGTACATCTAACAATATTTAATTTTAAAATTTTAAAATGTTTAAATTCTATCTAAACATACCTAATTTAAATTTTTGAATTTTTTTAAATAATACTAAAAAAAATGGTTCAAATCTATTAGTGTATTATCTAAATTTTGAATTAACCCACATGGCATAATCTTACTAGATTTAACATTTAAATTTTAAAATTAACTAAAATGTCTAATTATATGATTAGAGGAATTCCAATACTTT